ACTCCCGATATGTCAACAGCTTCAAACAGCTGCCATTTCAAAAATAAAACCAGCTCTTTCCAACAGTTGTTGTCTTCTTTCCCTCAAGATGCGATATTATTCTTTTCTCTGCTACTCCTATCATAAATTCCAACGATGTGATGTGGGATCAATAACTGGTATTTGAAAGGACTGAAGAATGGCGGATCCAGTAGCTGATAAAACACCTTGAGATGATAAAAGATTATTCACACTCATGATCTGGTATATAAAGATATATGGAAATAATTTCTGCCTGAAAGAGAGCGAATCTTTATATACAAAAGTGCAACAAGGGTACATAAAATCTATTTTTGACTTCTTCCCCACCCCCCAGAGATTTTTGTTTCTGTGCTTATAAGAATTCTGCAGGATGACAATTCCATCTTCATTGTAACACTGTTTTCAGGGGAATTTCAGTTAAATTTATATATGAGAAGTGATGACAGGGGACTGCTTGAGTGAGGAAAGGAAAAGAGACTCCATTGTTTCCATTTGCTCCAAATTTCCACTCACGGAATTTCTGTCACTTTTAACACAGCCAGGATTATGTTTTTGGGAGTCACCTAGGATTAAACAGTATCATCCATAGTGATGAGCTATAAGGAGGTTGTGTGAACATGAATCTCCTTTTCAAAACAGAAGGATTTATACTTATTGAAGGCGGCTTGCCTTTGGTTGAGTTCTTCCAGCACATTTCTCTTGAAGTGGAACAAAGCTCTTGCAAGTTTTCAAATGGTATAATTAACTTTAGTAGAGCTCTCTGCTGTCACTGCTAAACTGTTTCTAGGTGTGGAATTTAAATAGCTAGTTCAAATACTTTTACACTATGGTCACCTGCACAATTCAGACATTCCCTGTAACACAATTTCCTGAACAATGGCTGACATCTTGTGCTTTTATATTTGCCTATAGCATGCTGCTACAGAGGATAACTGTATATACCATCAATAGAGAAACTGAAACTCCTGGAGAGACACAATAGGAAAAAAAACCCTAAGTTTCTTATAATTTAGCAGATTCTCATTTTCTTCCAATTGTTTGGCATTTTCCACTTGAGGTAAGCTGGTTATCCATTATCCAGTTGCAGAGACACAAACCAGCATTACCAAACGCTTAAAATAGGCTAAAGAGCTCTTAAATGATTTCCATTGCATTACTGAGAAACATGGAACTAGCAACTAAGTGATGGTCTGAAGTATGGTTTTACTTGTATTTATTTTTCTGCAAATTTTTCTGTAACTTGAATCTTTAAGACACAAGTAATATGATCATTCCCAGTGAGTGCCAGCAACATTTTTATGTGACAACAGAAATACAGCTAGTTATAAAGGCAAACACGTCAAAAGCTTATTAACTAATCATAACACATATATTAAAATACTGGGTTTTCCACCTGTGCCTCACATATGTATGTGGAACTTTTGCTGGAGCCAATTCTACCTACTTCTTCAGTTAATTCAGGTGGAGTTGCAAGTAGTCAATACTACTGAGGCTGTTTAATAAGGGCTTAAGCCCACAGCATTTGGAAGTGGAAATAATCCTTTAAAAAAGGAATTTTATAGAACTGGACATTTATTATGTAAATCAATAACATCTTAAAGAACCTATAGCCCTCAATACTTTACAGAGGTTTTGAACCATCCTACAGGATTTAATAGGTAAGGTATATGGTATGCAGGAGCCTTTAAAAAGCAACTATGCAAAGCATATATTTTGAATCAAGTCCCCAAATGTTATATCTTAGTTTGCATTGGACCTTATTAAGTGCTAGTGTGAATAGGACAATTCCATTAATCTTGTGATTTATCAGTTTTTTCATGCCCAGCTGACAAGATTTAGGAAGACAAATTTTAATTTATGAACTTTCCACTAAAGCAAACAAAAAAAAACTTCAAGACTTCCCTGGAAACAATTTTTTCTAAGAGCAAATGGTGATATCAGTTATTCCAGACCAACTCCTTTTCTCACTTCTTAAGTTTTTTAATAGATCTGTTTAGAAAACCCACTCCATACAATCCAGAGATTGTGCAAGTATGTGGTTTATCTCATTGTATTTATCTAACTAGCTGTGGATAAGAAAATATGTTTTTCTTTTATCTGAGCACTGGCAAAAGGAGTTTTTCCTTTAACAAATCCCATTTTACTCTATTAAGAAGAGGAATTCATGATGAGTCAGTGCAGTTACTCTAGTCCTGAGATGTCCCAGTTTCAGAATGGTTTGGTTTATGCTTAAACCTTTGGTAACTGGATAATCTGTCATTGATTGGGAAACACATTAATTCACATGGGAAAATGAAACTAGAAGTGGTGAAAATTTGTTACTGCTTCCTTATACAACTGCTATCACAAAATAAAACCTCTCCTTTAAAAAAATCTTCTGATGTTAAATTTGGTGCTGGATCAGCTGCAGTAGAAATAACCAAATTTCTACTGGCTAAAGTATCCCAGGACTTCATTCTCAGTATTTCAGAGCTTCCAAAATACAGAAGCTAACACTGCTTTTTATCTGGTGTGGCAAAGTTATCAGGAGTTGTTTTCTTACGAGCAGAGTTGGTGGTTCAGCTTTTGAAAGGAGCGGTATATCCAGCATGTTGTGGAACTCCTGACAATTTATTTTGCTTTTAATTACAGAGATGAGACTATGGAGGTTCCTAAGGAACTGGCCACAGGAATTTCTTATGTATGATAACCCCATATTCCCTGAAAAAGAGAAGGGTGTAGAATGAGTAATGTTAAGGTGTAGTAATGACCGCACAAATGGTTTGCAGGAAGGATTAGGATCAAAGTGGAAATGGCTACTTTACCTTAGAAGCTTCTTAGGTGATGACAATAAAGAGATGAGAAAAACAGTAATGATGTGTCACAGTTTTTACACCTCTCTAAAAATATAAGTATAGTCACAGTGGATCCCTGATGAAATCTTTGTAATACTGCAAACCCAAACAACATAAGACCGCCTACCTGGCCAACCCTTTCAGCTTCTGGATGTGTATGACTGATAGGCACCAACTATGGAAATACTTCACAAGGGGCAGAAAAATAAGGTTTTCCATGGGGCTTATTGTTTTCAGAAACTCTTTTGGCTCCATAAATAGAGCTGGTTCAAGTAAATGCAAAGAATGCTCTGCAGCTATTTATCCCTGTGTTGTAACCTGGGGAGGCTGCTGACTGGGCTGACAGCTCTCCCACACATGCCACACAGGAAAAAAAAGACTCAAGCTTCACAGCACAAGTCCTCACTTGAGAAAAGGCTTCTAAGGAAAGAAAGCTCTGTGAATTCCCCCCTCACTCATTGGCTTCTGGAGGTGAGATTGGACCTTGGGACACAGTTTCGACAAAGTCAGTTTGGCTTTTGGTACTGCTGCACTACAAGCAGGTTAAGGGGATAGCAACACCTCAGAAGTGAGCAGACCCACATCTGCAGAGTCAGCAGAGGCATTATCTGGAAGATTTTTGACGTGGGGTCCCTTTTACTTTAGGCATGGATAGGATTATGAAAAGGACATGCTAATGTTGGCTAACCACAACAGACATGCCCTGTTTGACACTACAAAAACTGATGAGACTGTAAAAATTCCTTGGGGGCTTTATGGAAAATAGATCCTTGTTTTAATTCTGTTCTATGATTAGTTACTGCTTCATTTTTTATTTTATTTTTTTTTTTTTTACGTCCCTAGGGGACACCCACTGATTTAGTTCATAATTCTGTGCAGTTTATAAACCAGATTTTGCTTTCTATCAGCACAGCAATACCACAATGCCATGTGAGAACTCAAGGGTTCATGTATCAGTGGTACATTCAGAAAGCCTATTTAGAATTTACCATGGATCACATTATCAGATCTTTTTTTTCCCAGCATTAGATCCACCAAAACATCTGTGAGCCTGTGCTGCTAAATAAAAGCTCCTGACTTTCAGAAGAGAATAAAAGCAGCTCTTGTAGATCTTGTGTTTATAGCATGTCATATGGTACAGTTTGGTCAGAATATTTTTGAAGTTAAATAGTGTTTAGAGAAGTTCCAAAACAAAAATCGATCCAAGAGAAAACAAAAAAAAAAAAAAAAGAGATGAAAGATTCTTAATTTGTAAAATGTCAGCCCTGCTTCCTTTGAGCAGGGCTCATCTATAAGAAATGGCTGTGCAACTCTAACAGAGGGGACTCATTTCTTTTTCAACTGAAATAATTAAGCTTTTACAGCCATGGAGGGATGGTTCTGCCTTATTTTAAGCACAATCAGTCCTGTTTGGTAAAGACAAATATTTGCACTCAAACTTGTCCACACACAAGGATGCATGCCCCAATCCCCTTGCTCATGAAGAAATATTCCCTGAGTGCCGGATTGCCTACTGAAACACCCCTACAAATACTTGAACATGTAGCTGCAAACTCATTCCAGGTGTGCCACATGTCAGTGCAGGATTTAGAAAACCGAATATCTTCAGAGACAGTACTTTGATCTTTCTGTTTAAGTACAATACTAAGATAAACTAAAAACAAATATCCTAGTTGAGCATGTTTTAGTAATCTGCCCAGGAATGCAATGTTCCCTAAAAGCAGATATATGGGTTTCTCTTTCTGTCCTCTCATGAATTCAATCCCTTTTTTGTTAATGGACCTATGAATTAGTTTTTCAAGCTACAAATTCCCAAACAGGCTTCTCATCAACTCCTGTGTAAGTAAGAACACACTGCTTGTGTACAAATTCACTAGTCAGACCACAGCTCACACAGCCTTCTATGTCTTTCCTCTAGTGTGGATCTTGGGAGTTTCCATTTGTCTGAGTGAGGGTTATTTATCGAGCAAGTGACTCTGGTTCTAGTTCACCTGAGTCTCATGACAGTGTTCTGGATACATAATGGTCAAGATCTCAGTTTGTCTTAAAATGGACAAAGCAAATTTCTAGCTTCTGTGACTGAAACAAAAGTTCTAAAATGCAGAATGCTCCTTTAAACTGCAGAATCCAGAAGGCAAATAAAACGCTCTTCTCATCTTTGTATTTCAGGTTCTTACGGTTTTTAGCTAGTTTCTTTCTTTAGAATTTGCTTTTTTTTTTTTTTTTCTGTAGAGAAGGCTTCTACTTACCAATTTTTTTATACTTTGAGACTTTCAAAGAGCTTTTTCTGGCCTTCTAACTGTAAATGAAATCAGGGTAAAGCCAATTTCATTATAACTGAAATAAAGGGCAATTAGCCTCCAAGCAGCAGCAGCCACCAACTCCTTTCAGCAAGAAAGTTAAGGTTAGCATGCCACGATCTATCCAAACCAAAGAAAGATCCAAAGGAGCTCCTTTGTTGCAATGCTCAGGGCAGTCCTAAAGAAAAGGCTGGTGTGAGCCCTAAGAGGAGACGCAGCCTGACAGTGGGCAGTGTTTGGTGCATCAGAGGAATTTGCAGTGCATGTGTCAAACCAAGTGCTTTCCTCTCAGTGTTCTGAGAGGGGTGCAGGAGGTTTTCCTTTTCCTTCATACAAACGGTCCTGCAGCCTGAAGGTAAGGGTCTGATGCTGGACAACTGAGACTGCATTTCTTATTTACTTGTTAGCTCCCTGCCTGGATAACTGTAGATGTGAGTAAGTGGGCTTTTCCTCCTGTCTTTCCTTCCTTTCTTTTTTCTCTTTTTTTTTTTTTTTTTGAATTGCATCAGTGGAAATAACATATGTCTGGGAATATTAGGGCAAGTGGAAAGAGAAAACAGCCTCTTTCCTGGAATATAGTGTTATGCCATGTGGGTCAGAAGTGGATGAAGCTAAACAATGACAAAAAAGAGTGCCTTTATATGTACATTTCTTCTTGTTCCTTTTTGAGACATAAAATCCTTCAAGCTACTTATTTTACCATAAAAACAATTACTTTTCTGCCCTTTGGGTAACTGGATTCAGGTTGAAGCTACTGTTAAATGATTAGTTTCTATTATTTCCTTTTTTTTTTCTATATTAGTGCTGTCAGCATATTCAGTGCCTGTTTTAGTAAAGCTTATGTTGCTCATGAAAGATTGCAACAGACTCTGTGTTTCGTACACACAAGAAATTACTACTTGTAGCTAGCAGGAAATATGTGAAGTACTGAGATGGGAACTTCCTGGTCTGTATTTAACCCTGCTATTTTGAAAAACGCTTCAAGAAAGGGTCATTTCCATAGTTTAGAAGGGACAAGAAATTTCAAAATTAAAAAAGGCATCAAATAAAACAAGTCATCCTCAGAGAACTCACTGGGAATCATTCATTTGAGCTCACCCAAGAAACATTACTTTAAAGTTGTTTACAATGCCAGGTTCTTGGATTACAAATTCAAGCTATTTCCTTAGTAAAAGTGCTTTTTTCCTCCTCCTTTTTTTAAACAAGGTTCCACTTTAAAATCACAGCTTGATTTTCTAAAGAAACACATACCTTACAAGCATATCAAAGAAGTTAGATTTTTTTTTTTTTTTTTCATGGAGGAAAAAGGAATTAATGTGTCTGAAATGCATGTTCACCAGTTTAGTGTAGCTTTAAGTTTAGTGGTAGCTTTAAGAATCACTCCTGATTAACTCCAAATGCTAATGAAGTTAGCAGGCCTTTGCACATGGTTCAAATTAAATACATGATCAAGTGATCTACTGGATGTGATAGGCTGTGCTCTTCAGGAGACTCAAAAAACACTTTTAGCTGTTTTTTCTTGTTTTTTTTTCCTTGAGAGTACATGTAAGGCCTCATGACCTGAAGCATTTCACAAGTTCATTTCTGTTTTACCTTATCATTAATGCAAAATCTGAATATTAGTCAGATAAAGGTGTTTTGTCATTTTATTTTTGGGTGGTGAAGAGTTCAGGAAACAATTCTTCACTTAAAAATCTTCTTCTGATGTAATTCTGACATATAAAAAAACAGTATTTGAAGGTTTAGAACTTTGGATCACAGGGACTTTGGTCTAACGTTGTCAGATATAAAATGAAATTTTCTAGCCTGGTTCCTACAATTGTTCAGCAACCCAAAATGGCTTTTCTGCTTCAGTTTTACAGAGTAGTCAGGAAATTTATTGTTTTCCTTTGCCCAACATTCCGCTTTATCTGGAAAGCCTGTGTTTGACTCTTAGGAATGTGATGCTCTTTAACAGTGCTTGTTAATAATTTAAAATTCTTGGATCTTTTTCAGAAAGTTCAGACTCTGGGAAAGCAAACTTTTTCACTACTATGAATAAACTCCAGTTGACTCAACTTCTCCAACTTCAGCAACTGTCATCAGAATGAACACTACACAGAAACATTGAATTTACCCTACCAGTCTTCCAATGCCATGAAAGAGGCAGTAGGTGCTGCTCTGAACTTAGCAACTTTTCTTCTCCAAAAATGAGTCCAGAACCAACAACAAAGAATTTGCATTTACTTCTCACAGATAATATTCTTCCCGTGCAAGTTGTTTGTGCCTGGCAGGATGCCCCAGCCACCAGCCCTTGAAATCCACAGACACTCATTCATGCTGACACCAAGTCAATTAGCTGTTTTATTTTAGCTGAGAAGAGCAAGTTTCCAGCTGGACAACTGTCTCTAGTACTTTACATATATTGGAAGATGCCACATAACAATGTAAAAAAAAAAACAAACAGCTACAGAACTTTGGCTCAGTGCCTACAACTTACAGTAGCTTGTTTTGTTGGCTGTAGTACTCTAGGGAGAGAAACAAAGGGTAGGTGAGAGAATTCCCCTGATATTTTTGAGATCTGAATAAGAAATAATCCAGGATAAAAATGGCTCATGCAAAAACACTACACCTCTGTGTTGTCACAGCAGCATCTTTCCTCATCATCCTGTGTGTACCAGAGTCACCACTTAAACTGATACCCAGTGATCTTTACCTTCCTCATTATTCAAATCAGCCATTCTAGAAATCCCTTTCTTTGCCTTTTTTCAATTTCTGTATTAGATGCAGGTCTTTTATTTTATTTGAGGCCTGGTACAACACACTGAAGCCTACAATACTGTTTTATCTGTCTTCATCTCCTGTTGTTTGGGAGACTTCCTAATACCCTTCCCTCTTTTTCATACACTTTCTTTATGCCCAGTTACTTATCCTGTGTAAGATAGTGATTTTAAATTCTTTATGTTTACAAAGCACCCAATTCTCAGTCCTTTTTTTCTTTTCATCATGCTGGAGCTGCTGCTGCTTTCCAGTCTGAGAGTATCCCACTCTCAGAAATACTCTTTTTTTCACCTAAAACCATCAGGGCACCTATTCTTTGAGTAGTTCCCTTTCCTTTTTTGGCCAGTGTGCTGAGGCCTGGGCATGCATCCCCAATGGACTTAAGGGAAACTCACTGTGTACTTGTAACCTTCTCTCCTGATGAAGTGGGTGCCTGCTCTATTGCTGGAGGATAAAGTTATCTGTAATACTGTTGCTGGTAGTATGGGTAAACAGTGGTTAGCAATGGTGACACAATTACCATGACATTAAGGGCCACATGGAGACTACAGTTAAGGTCTGTTCTCTTCAATACGCTTCTTCAGTGTTCAGTAAAAAACATAACCTTGTATCCTCCTATTACTACTTAGCTATCAGTATTTTCATCCACTTCTCATTTTACTGAGAATTTTTCTTTGGCATCTTCCTCAAAACACGCTTTTGTGACATTCCCATCAAATCACAACAAAAACTGTCAAGAAGGGTCATAAAGAGGGAACTTGCCCCACCCCTGCCATCACGCCCCAGCAAAAGCCAGAATCTGTAGAAAGAAGTCGGAGTCATGAAGGAAATGATTGCTAACTCCAAACCCTCAATTCACCTGCTTGTGACTTGCTGCCTTGTGAGTGTTTTCTTCACCTGTAGCCCATGCAATCTAAGTCAACAGCAAATTCATTTACACACGTAGTTTGTTAAACTGATGATTCTGTAAAACCACTGGATAGCTGAGCAGTGTCTAAAATGAAGCCTGTGATTTCTGTGGAAGCCTGAGCATGTATCTTCTGAAATCAGACTCCTCTAAGAATCTCTGCTTTCCAGTCTGTCTGTCACTCTGGCAAACTCCTGAAAGGCTGTGGAGTTTCTTTCAGGAGAATTTTTTAAAACCCAGTCAAAGACAAATACTTGTTGGGAATGTTCTGGATATAAACAATTCCACTGGGTAGTTTCCAAAGCAAAGATTCTGACTTTTTTTCTGTGAGATGATTGCAAGAACTCCCTTAAAAACCTCATCCTGACTTTCTTTACTATTCAAATTATGCAGGATAGCTGCAGAACATGAGGATATTGTAGATAAGTCAAAAACAAGACAACAGAATGACAGGAGGTGAAAAGAAATTCTGGTAATTATGACCTCACTCATTAATTTATACCGACCATCTGCAATAACAAATAAAGCTCTGAGAAGAAAATAAAATGATGGCCGAGAGTTTAAAAACAGCTACAAACAGAAATGGTTTAAAAGCAGTAACAATCAAACAAAAATTCCAGCTCCTCTCAAAAGAAAGTAGAGCTAAACCAATTTCTATACACAACTCTGTTCCACAAGAAGTCTCAATGGAGCCTTTGGAACGATAGTCCCCATACTTCAGTCAGCCCTGTGTGTCATGAAAAGTTTATATCTGAAGATTCATGGATCTATTGACTGTTCTTAGCACACTGCCTTTTGTTCTGCTTTAATGCCTTTGCCTCACACCTCAGCAGTCAAATAAACCCTTTAGGATTTGAAAAATCTTGGGTTTTCTTCCCTTTGTTCAACAGAGTTCTAATTTAAAAGCTCTATCCAAAAGGTGCCCTTGAGCAACCTGGTATGGGAGGAGCCTCCCAGTATTTCTGTTGAAACTCTTCTATTTGGAATAAAATAATTAAATACTTGTTAAACTGTTGGCCTTGAGGTTTCAGAACTTGCCTGGAAGGGGAGAGGTGAATATTTTAGCCTGCTCTGATTAATATCTTTCTATTTTATGTTAATCCAAGGAGAGACCTCTAGCATTCCCCTTACAGGTAAGCCTTACTTTGAAGTCCTATTCACATTTCTTTCTTTGCTTGGTTTTTCTCCTTTATATGTCACCCCAACCTAGGTGAGGGATATGAATACAACATAACTCTAGGGAAGTCTAGAATGCAGTGCTCAACATTTCCTGTTGCCCAGCTTTGGTACCTCTCCAGACATTATGTCAGAGTTTGTTCTGCAAAAGCCTATTCTTACATGCCCAACACAGGCTTGTACCTAACTGGAGTCTAGTGAATTGAGGTATTTATGAGTTCCTTCTCTGGATTTCACCTCTAACTAAGTATTTTCTTGTTCTTTATCAAATTCTTCTTCAACTTAAAGGAAAACCCTCTGCTAATTGTAGCGGGACATGGAAAACCTTTTGCTGCAGCAAGGTGTTTCTATGAATTGGAAGCTGCAGGACCCCATTTGGTCTAAACTTAGGAACAAAAGTTGAAGTTTAGCTGTCTACAATTGTTTGCCCTGTCAATGCATGCTGGTCACATTGTTTGGGGTGATTCAATTTCAGTATGTAGAAAACGCATTTACATTCTTTCCTGAGGTTTTCCAATTGCTGAAGTAGCCTTCACACTACTGTCTTCTGCAAGGATATTTCCAGAGGCAAAGAATTTGGTTTTTCTTTGCCCTCTCCCCCAAAAGCAGGGAATTAATTGTACCCTCAAGGGGTGCACAGTAAAAAGCTGTTAAAGGTTGGTTTTATGCCACAGGTCTATAGTACTGAAAGATGGTGGCGCCACCTTTCATCCTTTAATTTGTTTTTTTTTGTATGTGCTTTAGATTACATTGGAGCAGCTGGCATTGCTAATATTAATGGTGTTGGTTTAGATGTAGATGTCATGATATGCAAAACCATTCAGTGCTAGATACCGTAAGAGTCCTAATGCTATGCTGGCTGCAAGAAATCTAAACAACTCTGTTCCTTCAACATTTTGCAATCATCTAAGGTCCTTTTGCCTTGTCTGTAACAATTGTTAAAGTTACACCCCATCTGACTCTGTCCTGTAGAGCTATTTTGAGCTTCCTGGAAAAAAGAGAGAGGATATGAGCATCAATTAACATATTACTTTATTTGGCATCTCATCAGAATCTGATACCTGGGGAACATTAGTTATCTAGGCTGAAAATAATAACCTAGTCTCTTTCATCCCATGCTATCTAGTTTATAGGGTTGCTTCCAGGTGATTATGTTGCATTTAATTACAATGTAATAAGAAATAACCTGTCATACAATAACTTTAATTGTCCTTCCCTGAAGCTGGTCTTCCTTGCAGCTGTGTAAAGCCCAACAGCTTGTGCAATTTGATTCTTGTCCCTGGATAGCTGGGAAGTTTCTGCTTACCAAGAGTTTCAGTTCCACGTCAAAAAAAGGTGGTAAATTTCTTGGGTGAAACCAGCATAATTATATCATCATTGTGGTCACCATGGAGGATACATCGAGGCTTCCACAAAGCTGAGACATAACGAACTTTGAGAATGAAAGTGATGACTCTCAATAGATTCTGCCCTGTTGTCTGGGAACTTTGACGAGAATGACAGCAATGACTCGCAGCAGGTCCTGCCCTGTTGTCTGTGTTGTCATGCTTACAAAATGTTTCTTAACATTTGCTAAGAAAGTAAAAGAAATACAATTTTAGTGGTGCTCCTACTGTCAAAACCAAAGAGCCCAAATGCCTCCCATCTTTAGAACAGAGAAACAAATAGCAACCCAAAGCTGCAGGTATAGGGACTCTGATATTCAGCCCTTGTTTTTCTTCTTTCCCTTTTCTTCAGTGATTCTCCCAGTTCCCACTGTTCAGTACTGGTGAATCAGCACTTTGCAGAACTGTGGTCTTAAACCACAGCACTTAAAGGTTGATTTTCAGAGAAAGCAATGATCTTCATTTCACCTGGGGAAGAATGCAAGAACTAGAATTTAAACTTTGTCTGGTTCATTAATAACATTGTGACTCTGGCATGAGCTGCTGTTATATGGAAGATTTATAGATAAGAAGAAAGAAGTGGTAGATGAGGAGGATGGGTGCAAGACCCAGAAGAGGATTAGTATGTGTGTACTTACTGTCATGCTGAAGACAACTAGGCCTTAGCATATGCCCAACTGCAGTCAAAAATGATCCTTTCTGGATAGTAAAAGTTAACTATAGACACAAAACAAGAAACACACAGTCTTTTATTAGGTTAATATATCTTTAGATTTCTGACTGCTGCAGGAGGGATGGTACGGCAGGTCTGGAAATGACAGTTAACTGCATTGAACTAAACAGACACACAACAAAGCATTGTCAAAAACAAAATATGACAGGAATATTTGGCCACATCACTTTTTTTTTCATACCATGTTTAAATGAACACTGAATCTTGGAACAAACCCAGTGAACTGAGGGCAAGGGTTTCCAAGCACTGTTTGAACCAGTGATCTGCCTCATCTTTTC